TCCTCCAGTCCTCCACTCTGTTCACCGCTCCTATCCGCACCCTTCTTTCTCTCGCGACCCCTATACATCCGAACTTCCTCTTTCCCAGCCTAACACTCCAGGCTCCTCTACGATTTTTAATGCTCGCCCCTACCTGCCCTAACAAATCGCACCCTACTATGACCTGGTATTCCCGAGTCATGTTTTTTACTACGTGTACCTTCAGTTCGCCCTCTTTTCCTGCCCACCGATCAAGCCTTATTGTCGCTTCCCCCTCTACACTACAGGAGGAATTAGTGATTAGCTGGCAATCGCATTTTTGGATCCGGAGTGCCCTCTCGCTCCCGCACACTTTCCCTAACGCCCCTCTGGTCATAATAGTGCTCGAGCTCCCGGTGTCCACGAGGCACTCCACTCCCCCGTCTACCTCGATAATTGGCAACCAGCATGGCTTACCTCGGATGTTGTTGCATGTTGCTGTGCGGTCGCCTCTCTGCTGCTACACTCCTCAGATGCCGCCCCGCTTCCTCCTCACCGCCGCCGTTCGTCGCTGCTCGGTCCGTTGGCTGCTCTTGCCTCCTTCGCCTCCACTGCTACCTGGTTCGTCCGTCTCTGTCCCCGAAGTTCCCGACTCCTCCGAAGATCCGTCCTTCCGCTGCATCCTAGCCCGTCTTGTCAACTTCTGCGTGTTTACCTCCATGGGCTCGTCTTGAGTTCTTTCTCTCCTCCGGAATATGTACGGGCACTGCCTAGCAATATGCCCTTCGGTACCGCACTCGAAACATCTAGTGCGCGGACATTGTGCAACTAAATGTCCTGGCTTTCCACACCCATGACATTTCCTATCTTCCCTGCGGGGTCCATTCCTCGGCCTCGCCTGTCCGGATCTTTTCTCACCCATCCTGACCTTTTCTCCGCTCGGCTGCATCGTTTCTCTCTTCTTCCAACCCATCGGGGCTGTCCGGGGTCGTCTGTCATTCACCCGGATCCACCCTGGTTCTTCCACGTCCATCCGAGTCTCTTCTTCCCTTGCGCTTAGGTCGATCATTTCCTGGGCACACTCGAGGAATGATCTCTCCCTGGGCAATCCGTCTCTCCTCCCCGTTTCCTTCGCCAACTGGACCTTGAGTATCGTCGAGAGGAACTCCATCCTGGCTTCCACCTCTCCCACACTCATTGTTTCGCGCATTTTCTCCGTTATGCGGTTGTACTTTGCCACTAGTACCCCCGCATACTGGCCCCTCGTCTGACGTTGGGACCGGCGCTCCCTAAACATTTGGAAGATGTCTTCCTCCGGCGTCCATCTGCCTCCTCCGAAGGCCTTCTTCAGTCGCTCCTTAATCACCGGCCATGGTGTATCCTCGTCCGCCTGAATTTGGTTCAGGATGTTCCTCCTTACTCGGCACACCAGAGCTGCTTTCAATGCTTCCGCGTCCCCTAGGTTTACCAGGTCCTCCGCCACCTTTACCTCTATTCTTGACATGAGGCGGTCTCCGTCTTTCAGGAAATGGTTAAGCTCACCTACCTCGCCACCGAAGCGTTCCAGGTCCGCAATGGCTCTCCGTAGGTCCTGCGTGGTCGCCGCTCTTATTTTCATCCATTCCAGCGCGTTAGCGTGCGCTTCTGCCAATGTGTCCCTCGGTAAGGGAGGGATCTCCTGGATCTGCGGAATCTGCGGTACCTGAGGTATTTGAGGTATCTGAGGAACCTGAGGGGCTTGCGTGATCTGAGGTATCTGCGGAATTTCTTGAGGTTGAGGGATTTCCGGAGCGCTCAACACTCCCGGCCTGATTAAGCCCTCTGTTGGCATCTCACTCTTTCCTTATGACTAGGAGAAGAAAAAAAAAACGAGAGAGAAAAAAAATGACTTTTAAAAAAAAATTACTTCTCTGTTCTCCTGTCGTAGTCCCGGGTTTCGGCACCAGTTAAGCGTCGGCGGACTCTAACAATAAAAAAAAAGAAAGGAAAGGGGTTGAAATGCAACACTCACGGTTTCAGAATAGATACTGCTTTATTCATTTAGTAATCCTCCTTATATACATATCATATGTTTATTTACATTCAGGACGGCATTAAGGCTGATATCGCCGGTCTCCGGTCTTTATCTTATATATATATATATATATATATATATAGATTTAGCCGATGCCGCGTGTTTTCTGTTACTCGTCCCACTGTGTGGAGATTTGCTCATTGTTAATACTCGTTATTTTTACTTGCCTACCTATACTAGGAAAGGAAAGTATTGAAATCGGGTTAAATTTCTGATATGCGATTTTTTAACTGATCTATACGTTTCAGAGCCCCCTTAGTCCGAAAAACACATTTTTAGCCATTAGTCTGTCTGTCTGTGCCAAGATTTTCTCGGGAACTACTGAACCGATTTTGTTGCTTCTTTTTTTATTTTGTAGGGTTTTGACTACTGATGCCTGTGACAGAAATTCGGTGTTCCATGCGGAATAAATGAAAAAGATGTTTTTCTATAGACAGCAGCGCAAAAACGGCTCTACGATTTTGTTGAAACTTTCCTATAATATTCTAATAATTGTTCTTTCAATTTTCGTATATGGACTAAATTCCCGAGAAAATACAGGAAAGAAAGTTACAAAGAAAAAAAAATGTTTTGTAGCCTAACTCGCTAAATGTGTATTCTATGGTAAAATGTATATTAAAACTTTTTTAAGGTAATTAAATTACCAACAAAACGAGAAAAAAAATTATCAGAATCGAACAAGTATTAATGATGATACAGCATTTTCTATTTTAATGTATTACTTTCTTACCTATACTAGGTAAGGAAAGTATTACAATCGGGTCAAATTTCCGATTTGCGGTTTTTGACGGATCTATACCTTTCAGATCCCTCTGAGTCCAAAAAACACATTTTTAGCCGTGTCCTTTCTGCTTTTTTGAAACATAATGAAATTCCTTACAAAACTGTATAAAATCTTTCATTTCGAACAATTATTAACAAAGTTACAGTTCTCAATGATTCAATTTCCAATGTATGATTACGGGTTCCTATCTTGGTGTCAGAAAGGGGTGAATGAGAGAGAAAAGATAACTAAGTGAAAGTAAGAAAATCTTTTGCCCGCATCACACAATATTCACTATTTCTTTTACTTTTAACAGAAACAGCAATATTAGAAGTTATTGACATTTTTACACTGATCCACCTTAAACTGGTTTACATTGCTTTAGTTTATCGAATAAATCGTACTCAAATCTTTTCTTTGATACATTTTCAGGAAAATAAATCTAATTCAATTTGTTTTTGTTTCTTGATGAACATCTGTAAAGATATAAAAACTTCTGAAATAGGTAGAAAAGTCGTGTGAGTGGGCACACCAGATTTTTAATCTGGGAGTTGTTTGAGAGAATAATTCATACTTGAAGCAATTGAATATTTGTCATACATTTTTTTTTAAAGATAAACCAGAAAACTTCAACTGTCCTATTTTTTTGAAAATATTATTACAACCCATCGATCATTCTTGGTATCAGAAATGTTTTTATTTGGATTGTTGTGACATCCACTTAATATTTCCTTCGCTTTAAAACGAATCAATTCTTCATAAGAATGATTAATTAAAATATAAATATAAATCCCATCTCTGAGAAAACCTGTTTTGCAAACAATCCACATTTAATTTATTTACATATTTTCATCTTCGTCTTGTAAATTAGTATTATTTACAAAAAAAAACAAAAACATAATAATAATAAAAAATACTATTTTATAATATTTACACAAATAATTTTATTTTAAAAGGAGTCACAGGTGGATCTGCGAGGGAAGGGGTTTATGTTTTACCCACTCCTAACCCCCCCTCCCCCCGCAGCAGAAATAAGTATTTTCAGACAAAGGAGAAGTGAAACTAAAACTTATAGACGATATATTTATTTATATTTCATTGTATATACTCTTATAAATACAAAGTACCCTTATATATACAAATTATATCGTTGTAATCTATACAATTAAATATTAAATAATACTAACAATAGCATTTATAAAAACCGTATATGTATATTTACATAATATTGTCGGAGTCCGTATTATATTTAGCTCATGTTATGTACGAAAGCGTGTTATAATCTTTCCGGTGCGCTCTTATTCCTTTGGTTCCTCAATTACAACTATTCTCCGTTACAATCTCTCATTTCTCTTTTAGTTAATTACCCCCACTGGCTTTAGCACCAGTGACGCGGTTGAAAGAGTAGCGCAGGGATCTCTTGGAGTCCTGATTTTCCTTCTATAGTTGGGGAGAAACCTGGCTTGGGGTTCCCTGCCTAATTGTATATATTGTATATAGGTATGACTGTGTTTTTATGTTTTTTAATTTACTCATCTTTAGGTTATTTTATTTTTTTAATGTACATAGTTTTTGATTATTATTTTACTTTTGTTAATTTTATATTTTCTATATATATGGCGTGAATGTGTTCATGTATCATTATAAACTATTGTCCACATGACAGATTGTTATAATTCTAAATAAATAAATTTAAAAAAACGTTAATTATGAAATTCTTTCATATTTTATATTTAACTATCTTTTATATTGTGAATTAATGTGAAATGGCCAATCGTTTCAAATAAAAAAAAAGTACTTTAGGGGAAGCTAATATTGAAAATTAGCCATTTAAACCCTGTTAGAGAATATCGATCAGAATAAAAACTACATTTCATTTAAAAGGGATTAATTTTGCACTGATGTGATGAATTTAAACAAAATCATTTGAGACGTCTTCGAGAAAATCGTAAACATGTGTTTAGTCCAATATATAAAGTGCCACTTCCGATTAGCCGAATTGACGGAAAAATTGCTGTAACATCTCAAGCATATAAAAACCTTAAATATGCAATTTCACTTTCGTACGACTTTTTGTTTTTGAGCTAGAATGTTAACACACACCATTTTTGCGGGACTTTATTTCGACTCAGGAGACCTCAAAATATGTATTTCTATTGAAAACTCAGATTCGAAAAATTTTACGATCGCAATATTTTCCCTTACTATATATTTCATGTCTATGTAAGTGAATGTGAAAGTTGGAAGGTGTTGAATTCTACGCCTAAATTACACCTGCTTACAAATAGGGAAATATTATTTAGTTTAAAGGACATGAGTGGATGTTGACAAATAAATAATATTATTTCCACTCGAGATTTTGTTTACTAGTTTGGCAAAAAATAAACAAATCGTTTAAAACGCGATCTGTCAAGACGTGGACGAATTGACATGATAAAGTATCACGGTTTCTGACTCACTCATCAGTTAGCAACTATGGCGATTCTGGTTCGTTATGCTCTTTTCTTTCCAGCTTTATTCTCAGGTTATAAATATTTATAATTATATTGTTATTAACTTATATTACAATTTATTTATTTATTTATTGATGGTATTTACAACTGTATTACAAACAAAAATACATTCAGTAAATGTGAACAAAAGAATATAATAACGTGAAACCACTGGTAGCACTCTAAAAATGTATTTACAAAAGGAGATCACGAGGGCTTCTTCTTTTCAGACGCCTCGGAGGGTTATCAAGGATCCTAGAGGAAGCAAGATTGGAAACGAGAGGGTTTGGATGGTTCTGAAGTTTGTTATGGAAGGATAGGAAACTGGATTGGGCCAGATCAGAAACATAAAGTATATTAAGTTCGTTATGGATGATTTTATTTGTGAGAAAGTAAGGAGCAGTGAGGATTTTACGAAGGATTTTGGATTGTAAGGATTGGATACGAGAGGAATTCGATGGTTTAGTGGAGTCCCATAACTCAACTCTGTAAGTCCAAATAGGTCTTATTGTAGTCATGTATATGAGTCTTTTGTAATTGACTGAAAGCTTAGAGCGTTTGTCTAGTAAGTGCTGGAGTAGTCGAAAACGTCGAGTGGTTTCTTGTCGTTTCAGTTTGGTATGATGATTCCAAGTTAGCCGTTTGTCCAAGATACTGTAGGACAAGAGGACATAGATTTACGACAAAGGATAAAGGTGATTTGATGGGATTTATTTTAATTCTCCAGTTTTTACACCATTCTTCAAGGTTTGTGACGTGTGATTGAAGGGTTTGGGATGCAATTGTTGGGTCGCTATTAATTGATAGGACACATGTATCATCGGCATACGTGGTAATGACAGTGTTAGGATGGGTTGGGATATCAGCTGTATAAACTGTGTAAAGGATAGGACCTAGGATACTACCTTGAGGAACACCAGCGGACTGAGAATCAAGGGATGAAAAGGCATTATTATGATTTACTTTGAAGGATCTATCAGTTAGATAGGAGCGGATAATGAGGAAGTATGTAGGGTGTAGGAATTTACGGAGTTTGTAAAGTAGTCCTGGGTGCCAGACTCAATCAAAAGCTCGCAATTTATTTATTTCTTCCCCACTCTTTGTCGATAGGTCTAACAATTATATAAATAGGCAAAGGCAAAAGTTTCTCAACTGATTTTTTTTTCTTGCTTAGTAGTCATTGAGTGTTAGTGTTATTATAAAAAATTGAAAACAGTGTATATATAAATAAAAAAAAAAGGAGTGTTTTATATACATTTGATTTTCATCTGACCTTTTATTTCGAAATGGCAGCCGAAAAATGTGTGTCGTTATAGACTATAGCGCCTAGGTTTGCCCAAAACAGTAATACCGCCTTACTGTTGCAGTACCAAGACTAAAACTGGTAAAAAAAAATAACACTAATATTTATAATTTTAGTTACTATATGTAAAGAATTCCTATAACCAATATTCTTTTGCATATAACCTTTTCTAATTTTCCATTCGAGCTTAGTTAGATTTTTTCTATATAAAAAATTACAGTAATATCTCTATAGTAATACAATAATAGGTAACTTCAAGACTGTTACGAGACTCTTGCGCAAGACCAAGACTCGTCTTGGTCTCGCATTTGGGCAACACTAATAGCGCCGAAACGGCCGGAACGATTTTAATGAGACTTGGATAAAGTCTTCTCCTTGAAGCCCTTCTGATTTATTAATACAACATACTTTCCCAAAAAGAGACCGAAAAAAAAGTAACGTTGGATTCATTATTTTATTTACGAATAACTCAAAAAATATGCAACTTCTGGTTTATTAAATCTACGAGTATTTAAAGGTTCCTGAATACCCTACATATTGGATGATAATAAAACAAATCCAAATCGAAAAGAATCATGTTCGATAAGATTTTTTAAAACATTTTTTCGGTGTATTTTTTTTTTAGGAAAAGTCCATTATGACAAATTTATATTTGGAATATAGCTAGTTGAAATGAAACAATTTGCATCGACCGAAGACACAAAGTAGGTTAAAACTTTTTTTTAAGGAGAATCCTTAAGATTGGTATTTCGTACCTGGAAAAATGATCAAATACGTATTTTCATAGCAATTGAAAAATAAAAATAATTTGCCATTAAATTTTCAACGAATGAGCAAAGTGGGTTCATTATTTTTTTTAAGGTAGTGATGGATTCAGATTTTTATTTGCCTGTACCTCAAAAAGTTTTATGTTTTAATTTATTGACAAAAAAACAAACCAACAAACAAAAAAAATAGATGCTTTAGTGACATGTTGTTAAATAAAATAAAGAAGCTAGAAATAAAACGAAAGCCTGTTAATTAATGTTTTGATATTTCACATCAGCTACTAAATGATTTTAAATGTGTTTTCATCGATAGAAGATACGGTCTTGTGTAATCATATAGCTTGGAAGAAGACCGGTACAACTCAAAACGAAACTATTCATTCGCAAAACAAAAGATTAAAAAAAAAAAACAAGTTTCTAGGTCGACTAACCAGCTGTTCCGTAAATTTGAGTATTTCTATTTCGTATACTTTCTACTCTATCGATTATATATTGGAAGGAAATTTTCGTCATGGGCATCTACGCGACTACCCAGCTCAAAAGTCATAGATAACTATTTAGGTTATATTTTAACTTATTTATTAATTTTCCATCTTGAGAGGGTTGTCAGGAATTGTTGTGGATGAAGGGTTGTGAACTAGAGGGTTAGGGTGAACAAGGAGTTTGGAATTAAAAGAGGAGTATCTTAGTCGGACCAAGTCTTCAACAGAGGGAATGTTGAGGTCTTTATGAATCATTTTATTTGTGACATAATAAGGAGCATTAAGGATTTTATGGAGGATTATGGATTGTAAGGATTGGAATAAGGAAAGAATTTGATGGTATTGTGGAACCCAAAGCTCTACTCCATGTGTCCAAATGGGCCTGATGATGGAGTACTGTGATATTAAGCATACCATAATAACACAGTATTGATAACAGCATACAAAATTCATAGTTGTGCACACAACTCTTTTTACTTTTCAATTCTTCGATAAATCAAGCTTGGCTTCCAGAATCCGTCTTCCTGTCATTTCTCCTCTTTTCCTTCTGCGACCTACTAGGTTCAAGGGAGCTGAACCTACCCCATCATCTTCCAGCCATTTATGAAGTCTTTGAACCATGGGAAGTTTTTTTCTTCTCCTCGATGAAGTTGTAAATTTCAGTGGTTCTCAGCAGTGTGGCTCTTAATCCGACGAAAACAGTGCAGGCCGTTACCACACACTCAACAGTCTCCGGAACACCACAAGCGAGGAATTGCAAAACCCAATAGTCCGGGAGAATCCGCCAACGGTCATACTACGTTGAACACGGCGAATCTCGTCCAATCAACGAAGTTATGCAAAGTCTAATGTGGTTTGTACTTGGATATGTGATTGCCTGAAAAAACCGATTGCTGTTGGTATTTCATTTTTAAGGGAATGGTGTGGCCGAAAAAGTTAACTAACAAAGCACTGCATTGTAGCAACAAGAGGGAAGATGAATGTGATAAAACAATTACGAGTTCGCTGCCAGGTGCCGGGGGCTTTTAACTCTGGCAGTAATTTCCCGTCATCACCCTCTGGCTCGAGTCCGGGAGAATCCGGCTTTCTTGTAACAGAGATTGAACAGTAGGAAAGTATTTTTTTATGTTACTCCTTTTCGAAGTCGCATCAATGGCCTCTTCCACTCTTCAGTCGTTTCCTCCCGGATTCTCTTTTTCCATTTATTGGAGTTTTCAATGATCTTTATCTTCTTTGAAAAACCTGTTGAGCCATCCCTCATGTAATCATGTCTGGTCACTTCTTCTCGCAGAAGGTCGAGGGGCACCAACTCCGCTAGGACCTGCTTTGCTTCATGATTATATGCTAGACCTATATGCGCTGGTGAAACGAAGCAGAGCTGTCCTCTGAGTCAAAGCTAGCGTATTTTTCTGTCACAGTGTGAAGTTCCGTAACCAGCTATATTTTAATTGTTACATCATAACAGCTACATTTTAACTGTTATATTATAACTGTTTGTTTATCAGTTGTCGCAGGTAGTATCTTCACAGACTGCCCGCTGGCTTTCGGTAACTGCAGCTCTGATTGGATCGGCTACCAGTTCTACGACAGGTATAATAATTATTATAACATTGTCTTAATTGATTCTGTATGCATAGCATAACTTATAATAATACATTGTAAATCAGGGAAAACAGAGAATATGGGCAGTACGTGGAGGTTACAGCTGCTGGGAATAACCTGACTGAAGCTGGTTTCGACTGGAAAAAACCTGTTACTGTAATAATCCCAGGCTATGCTGAGACAACTCACAGGTTCGAACTGGCGGCTCTTAAGCGTGGTAATCACTTATATCTTTTAATATAACCTTTTCATCAAATCGTTCCTTAGGCAGCCCGCGTAAAGGAGCGATGCTACTTGCTACGATATTTTAAACTAGGTAACAGTCCACAACAAGAGTAAATTAGTACAACTTTTAAATGTGGTTCGTGGTAGAGTAGGTTGGTATGAGAATCGAAGTAACTTACTAACCGAGATATATAGTCAAATTACTCAAGAATTCATAATTTTGGTACTACTCAATATTTTGTTTTCATTTAAAGCCCATATTTTAAGTCAAACAAACCTAAATATAATGTCAAAATTTCAAAAGTCTATCATTAGCCATTGCTGAGCTTATCCCTGAGAAAATTTCGTTGGACTATGCGAACATACAGATTCTCAAAAAAAAAATTTTAAGTGGATTTGGTGTCTGTAATGTGTGAAACGTGTTGATTCTCTTCAATGTATAGACAAAACCTTTATTTTTTTTATATAGATAATAATAAAAATAATAATATGGTTTAGCGACCTGAAGGTTCTATATCGATACTATCAATCGATGTCTTCTTCCAACCACCGGGCACCGTCAAAACCTAACCCTACCAGAAGAGTTTTAACGCAATTTTTCCACCTTTGCTTTTGTCTACATCTCGGACGCTTATTAGTCGGCAAAGCTCGTGTTATCTTTTTAGACTTTGTCGGGGGTTGCTTCTTGCAGTAATACCAATATTTCTGTCTTCCCTTGATGCTGTAAACTGATGAGATCCATTAACAGGTCTCCTATTGTAACTTTTTTAACGGTTTTTTTTTGTAACGGTTTTTTAGACAACAATGATGCCAACTACATCGGCGATATTCACTTACCACTGCCCTTTTGACCACTGATTCTGAAGATAATATTTCAATATATAAACTACATAAACTTCTCTTTCAATATGATGTCTTTCCTTCGTTAAACAGAATATAAATGGATTGGAATTGAGAAAAATTGAAAACAACTGTTCGTATACAACATGAGTATTCTTCATGTTGACTATCCTTTAGTTAATAATTTATTTAAAATGAAGAATACTTGTTTACTTTTCATGTTTATCAACAAATAAGAGAATACCTTAAGAACTAACAAAAGGGTATTTTAATTAAAAGGAATAAAATAAGCATCAAATAAAAAGAACCCTATTAATTTTTGAGCAGTATGTATACTAAGAAATTGATTGTTTCCCAGAACTGTTGAAGAACAGCGACATGTCAGTGCTCATCATGGACTGGTCTAAGCTCACCGACGACTGCTATATCACCGCCGTCATCAATGCACGCTATGCCGGCAGGTGTCTTGCGGACCTCGTGGATACTCTCGGAAGGCCTTCGACGGGACTACACGTCATCGGGTTCAGTCTTGGAGGACATGTACCAGGATCGGCGGCGGACTTCTTGGCTCCGTACAAGATACCGAGGATCACAGGTAAAATTTGTAGATTTTTTTTATTATAATCACACGATTCCTCGTGCAATTACTGAAATCATCCAGTATCATGATACGGAAATACTTAGTTGTTTAAATTGCGCTGCCGTTTCAGCCGATTACGTCGAACTTCTTTAGGACGAAACAAAGTTTAAGAATTAGATTATAATTGGAAAAATTCAATACCATAGATCGTGGCCTCTAAAATGAAATGAAAATATATTTTATTATTCTGGGACTGTTGTCCCTTTAGAACAAATCATAAGTACAGAATACATGGCTGTATGGTCATAAATAAATTAAATATATACAATAGTAGATATTTAAAGTAAAAATACAGAAGAGAGAGAAAAAGACAAGAAAAGCGTGCATATTTAAAACAGTCAAAGGAAACTAAAATAACAGAGATAGTTTCTGGGGGTTCTTTTAAGTATATTTCGTAATCAGTCGGATTGAGAAAGAAGTAGGAGTTTAAAGAGGAGAGGTTTGAAAGAGGAAACTGATTGTGCGTGTCGAATATCAGCAGGGATGGAATTCCAGGGGGAGGCGGCTTGAATTGCAAATGATTTGTCAAACGCGACAGTTTGGTGAGGAGGAGGATAGAAGTCGGAGGTACGAGATCTAGTGGGACGTGATTGGATGGAGTATTTAAATTGTAAGCTGTGAATAATATAGGAGGGTCGATGATTTCTAATGATCTGGTACAGAAAGATAGCTAGGAAGTACTGACTGCGATAGGATGGATAGAGCCAGTTCAACTCGGTTTAATATTGGGTAATATGCTTATCTCTTGAGATTCCGAAAACAAAACGTAATGCGCAATTCATTAGGCGTTTAAATTTGGCCTCGAAATCTCCCGAGAGTCCACCGTACACCATACAGCCATAGTCAAAATGGGGGAAAACAAGAGAGGAGAGTAGGAGTTGACGAGACTTATATGGAAGGGGATAACGTAGACGATTGAACTGTTTTAGGTTGGAGATAGTCCGACGGGAAATTTGAGAGATGTGTGGTTTTCAGGATAGGGTTTGATCAAAAGTAACTCCGAAGGTTTTACATGTTTAGTTAGGTTTAAATTAAGGTAAAAAAACAAACTAACTAATGTTTGCCAGTCTCGCTTGTTCAGGTGTAATTAGGAAAGGAAAAAAGTTAGATCATGCAATCTCAATACGTCATCCAAACATATACTGTGAAAAAATGAGAGACACTGCTTATCCGCAGAAAGTAACAAACAAAACACCCTCCAAGGTCGATGGCACGTGAACCTTGCTCCACCCCTCCCAAGATATTTTATTGCTCACATCTTCTTAACAGTGCAAACAAAAGTAGAATTTAAAAATTCTTTGCTTATATTCAGTTACACACCATGCAGTTAGCTCCATGTTCCCATGCCACTTGTCTTTTGATTTGAAACTTTTAATTTCAAAAATTCATACCCCGTCGAAATGAGGCTCCTCCAAAATTCAAAACCACGTTAAAATGTGCCCCCGTGAAAAGTTTTGATGGCGCAACATGCGCCATGAAACCCGCTTCTGGGTAACCCTGTAAATAATATAATGTATTAATACATAAACATAACACAAGAAAAGACATTAAGTTGGATGATAAAGTTTAGTCCAATGCATTTAGTTTGGAGAACGTTAGAACTTAGAACTTAGCGTTGTCGATGAGGAAGATAAAATTGATTGGTCTTGTGATCCGAAGACGGCGATCTTGTTGCTGTTTTCCCCAACGTACTTGTCCTACCCAGAAGGGGGATTTACGTAGAAGGGAATTCGTAAGTTATGCCTTCAAAATTTTTGAAGGGGCACACTTTAACAATGTTAAATTTTTAAGGGAGCACATTTCGATTTTCCTATAGGGTTATGGATTTTCTGAGTAAAAAATTTAAAAAGAAAAAAAAAGAGGACAAATATGGACCACAGGAAGTGTAATTGTATATGACCCACGATTTTTCTAATTTTACTTTCACTTGAAGATTTTTCAAGAAAGGAAGAGCAATAAAATTTCTTGGGAGGGGTAGGGGAAGTTCATGCGCCATATGCCTTGTGGGATGGACACTCCTGCTTTTGTAACTCTTTATGCCAGGAGCCAACTGTTTTCCTTGTCAACGTTTGAACCCGGATTATGAATTCAATTTCTGAAAAATATCCATCGCTTGAATTTCTTCTCGAGCAGAAAATTTTAAAATTACGCATTTCGTAGTGGAGGGGTACACATGTTGCTCCAACATTGTTAGCATAACTCGAGAATTGGTTGGACATGTGGAACGGTCACTCTACCATTCTCCATTCTCCATGCCATACTGGATAAGAGGTACTGGTCCAATTAACTTTAGATACCAAGGAACAAAAATTTGTATTTGATTCACCCTCTTAGTATTGTTTATAAAAGGTTGTTAAAAATATATATATTTCTTTAAGGTCTGGATCCAGCGTTCCCTTTATTTTGGGGATTGATCTCTCAAAGGAGACTGAGTAAAGATGATGGTGAGTTCGTGGACGTGGTCCATACCAACGCCTTCTTGAAGGGCCATATCCTTCCTCTTGGTCATGTCGATTTCTTCATCAATGGAGGAATGATCCAGCCTGGTTGCAGTGGCAGTATCTTCGGTAAATATGCATATTATTTCTGAGTACATTCTAAGAAAATTGTAAAAACAAATAAATAAAAGATAGAAATAAATATATAATTGGAAGATTCTAAAACAAAAGATTAAGTATCTTAATTAATTACTTACAATAAGAATTACTAAACAATTCTTTCAATACTCACAGATGTGATTGACTGTTCCCACCTGAGGTCACCAATTTATTATGCTGAATCAATTAACTCCGACATCGGATTCTGGGGGTGTGGGACTTCCTACTTTTATGCATTCTTTGAGAGCTGCCAGCCTGAAGATGTGTCTCTTCTAATGGGATATCATGTCAACAAGAAGTAAGGAAATAATAAATAAATTTGAAATACTGTTCATTTTAAAAACAATTACATGCATTATAAACGTATAAATGATTATTTTTTTTGGGGGGGATGGATCTTTTAATAAAAAAAAAAATTAAACAACAAATAGTTTGTGTTTTGACCCAGCAACAACATGAATAAGAGGCAAAAATGTTATAATAAAAAATGTATAACAAGGACAATAGGAATGATACAAAATTATAAATGAAAATGAATTATTATAACAAATATGGTTCAAATATAGAAAAAAGATATTTAGAGCAAAGTTAATTTGACACACTACACTACAAACAATCCCAAAGTGGAAACTTTGGAAAAAAAAAATTATCCTCTATTATTTTTATTTGCAATTTTTTTTATTATAAATTACCCATTAATATTTTCTTAATAATCTCCATTAGTTATTTTGTTTTCTTTTACATAATTTTATTATTCTTAAATTACTTCAATATTTATCTTAAATTTATTTATTTTTTTAAATAATAATAATATTGTTATGTGTGGACATCACAATATTCACGCCAGTTAAAGGAATACAAAAATTGTTAAAAAATTAAAAATTGTTAAAATTTAAATATTTCTTTTCCAAATAAATATGTTATATTTTTTTCTTCTTTTCATCATCTGACCTGTTTTCTGGAAAGTTTTAAATTTTCTTCCTTCCAAAAAATTGTTTATGACATTTTTACTTCATTCTTATAATTTAAATTTTTTTCCTCCTTTTTTTCTTAAATCTATGAAGTAGACACGAAGATTTTTCACTTTTCTCAAAACATGAACTTTTTTTTTTCTTTGTTATCTGATCCCTGATAAAAAATAAACATACCCTCTATTATCCATTAATTCTAAACAAATAAATAGTCACTATCCAAAAACAATGAACAATATTACTAATAAAAAAAAAAAGAAAAAAAAACCTGTACCACTAAAACTCATGAAGGGTCTTGGATTCAGTACTATTTAGGGAAAGCACTGTTTCTTGGCCCACGGTTGTTCAACGAGGTGATTTGACCGAGATTACGCTCAAATTACTAATCAAAAGTAAACTAAATACTTTAATAAAAATGGCAATAAATAGATAAATTCTGACACTATTCGGGCAAGTTTATTTTTTTTATTTATTTTAGAACAGTTTTAAACACAAACCATACTTTTAATAAGTTTACCAATGATATACAGATTAATTTTATTACTTAATTACTAATGAGAAACAGTTTATAATTTTCTAAAGGTTATGCTAACTCAATTAAGCTACTAAGTTTTCCAAGAACATATTTTTAACCTGAAAGAAATCTATTTATTAAGTTAAGGATTTTGGTCCACATCAGGTATAAATATGGGTTTATTTACTACAAAATTATATACCAAATAAAAAAAATTGTTTTACTTCTAAATAAATATTTTACATTAGATATAATAAAGGTATATTGTATATAACAATTTAAATTTTAAATTGCATAGTGTGTGGTAAATTATTCTACTGTTTTATAAAACCATCTTAATCCTCTTAAAATAATTTGTCGAACATTATATTCTTAAAATTTCTTTCTATATATCATTCAAAATTAATTACAATAACTTTAATGACTGTTGTCTTAAAGTAATCAAAAATAAATTTCATGCTTATCTTTAAGTATTAACATCAAGAAAATTTTAAATAATTTTTATATAATAATTTAATTTTTTACATAAATTTTGATAATTATAATTTCAAATTTGTCATTTACAGAGTTCGGGGAATCATTATGTTGACCACAAAGAGTAAGGCTCCTTATGCGAATGGAAAGACTTCAGAAAACAGAACATTATTACAATGATGATTGAATGAAAAAATGCGGTCATACATAAGACGAAGAAATACATAAAATGGTTATGATTTCCATGGGAAGAATTATGAAATACCTCAGAATTTGTTCAGATATAAATGAAATATTAAGTTAATTGGGTTAATCATCACACCAACGATCATTAACCCAAGTTAGAAGGATTTTGAATGAACAATGAGGAATTAGAAATGTTTTGATTATTATTGGATTTAATTTAATCTACCAAATTTTGTATGTCTGGTTCAACCAATCTATTTATTTTGCAAACAATAAATTAACTTAATTTATGTCATAATGTATTGTTTGAGTTTTACTGATCAACTAGGCATTAGTACAATTAGTACTTTTTATAAGAACAAGAGAATTAAGAAAGTAAAAGAATGACCAACAAAGAATTTTCTGATTAAAATCAAGATTAATGGCAACATGGTCATTACGTACTTAGTTATGGTCAATAATCCAGTTAAATGTTTAAACAAAAATGTTCTTTTGCTAGATAAATCATTAACAAATTTAAATTCTCTTTTTTTTAGAAATTGAATGGCTCGAAGCAATTAACAGGTTAATTAGTTGGTTGTTGTGAAATAAAGACATAAAACTTATTGGTTATTATGACTTTGTTTATATTTTGTATGTATATTTATTGGTTTTGAAAAAAATAAGAAGAATAGAAAATATATTAATAATTTAAATCAAAACTACTATCTATCTTTATTAATATAAAAAAAGTTTTATATTATCTATAATTTAGGCATATAATTCCAAAACCAACCAATTTTTTTTCTGTAATTTTTATTACTTTTTAGCAGTTTTTGTATTATATTATTAAGGATTTCATACTGCTAGTAATACTAAATTTTATTCTAAATCTTATTTATTTTTTATTCTATATGTTTTATCTCTATTTTATGACTTGTAATGTTTTTGTTTTAAATTTTTTATTCTACATTTTAACTTAGTTTTTAAAGTTTAAAATTATAAGGCATTGTAGTGACATATCTATATACAGCTGTGATATAAATTACTTTTATATTGTAAACAAAAAGTATTGTATTAATTGTAATTATTAAAAAGTTTTTTTATCATATATTTACAAAATATTTTTATTGTTTAATTTATTTATATGATTTTATTACCTATCTATCTTTAAATATAAAATACAGCAAAAGACTTAATTTCAATGAATTAAGTGGTTATATATATATACGTGGATAAATATTATATAATTATGAACAAATTATTTTTAAGCATTTTAAAAAATTAAGAACCAGTCAAAATCAATTTTTTTTTAAAACTACAAAATGCGTTTAAATTTAGTTTTTTGTTTTTATATTTTTTCTGTTTGTTAATAAATATGGAGGCATATCTAATTGGTACTAACAAAAAAACAAGGTAATATTAGATGTGCATTCATAACTCACAAGGATGTGGAGAGCTCAAATAAATAAAAATTGTTCAAATTCTATAAATTTCACCGACAGAAAATTTGTATTATTTTTATTAAAATTTCTTTTAAGCATAGAGTGTCCTTTTCTGATAATTAGTTTTTTTATGTTGCTATTAATCAATTTTTAAGAAATTGTTGTATATATCAGTTACTATTTTATATTCCTTTATTAGAAGAGTCGAAAAACCCAAATTAGAGGATTGCGGATTTGAAAAATTAGTCATTGTATATGTAGAATGGATACTGGAAAATGGTCGCATTGTATCCTAAGGTCTGAAGAAATATTGTATATGAGGGCTAGATCAGGGCCACTTTAATTCGTCTTAAAGGTGGGATTGGTTGGGTTCAGTTGTGGAAAAAATATTTAAAATATTAGACTCCTCTCATTGACAATATTAGACTCAATCATAGAACCAAGATAAAAAGGTAAAGAAAAAGCTGTGAGAAAAGTAAATAATTTTCTACTTGCGAAAAGTTACTTTGCTTCCTCACTACCCAAGCTAGGGAAGCATTGTAATCCTGGGAGAGGTTAAAACAAAATTTTGTGCTTAGAATCGAGAATTTCCATTCGCGTTTTACGTTTCAGACATCAAGGATGAAATTTGGTCTGTCTGTCTGTAGTTGGATCGATGTAACAGGCATATCATCTTGTGCATGTTAGTCAAATTTCAAATTTCATCCAGCACTTCCGCTTATGCACACGCAAACGTTCTTTTTTAGGTATGCAAATATTTTAGAAACGGCTAGTTCGATTTTGATTGTTGGTTAAGTTGGTTAAGAGGAGGGTATTGTTTAAAAAAAATAATGTAGTTTCAATTTTATTGTATTATGTCTACTACTTTTTCTTATATATGCTCAAACGTGTATTCCTTGATACGTTTATATATCTAAAACCGCATGTTCGAGTTGGCTCAAATTTCGAGGGAAGCTAGGGATCGGTAAACAGATAACCAGGTATGTATGAATTTTATCAAATTCTATCCACAACTCAAAAAAGAAAAATATATATTTCCATCTTCAGATCAGGAAATGTATTATTTGACAGACCTGTAATTTGAAAAGTGTACCTTCGATTTAACCCAAACTTGGAGGAAATTTGGAAAATAGGATAGAAATTACCTATTATAAATTTTTATTCAAAAAGTTTATTTGTACTGTATTGTTTAGTGGATTCCAAACGTTACTAGATTTTGTGTAGTTTTCAGTAAATTTAAATTAATTTTTACTCTGGGTTAGTAAAAAAAAGTCTTATTTGTGATTGTGTCTATTTCTGTTGAAGTTAAACCAGCTCGTCGTAGTCTCGATTTTCTCCTAAAATATCAAAGTTGTGTCAACTTCACGCACATTTTTATATTCCAGCTAAATTATTTTTGTTCTGACTGAAGAAAAGTATTGGTCTCGTTAACTCCGAACAAACAAAATGTTGAAGTTTTCCTATGGATTTTTTGTTCCATCCATTTTATGAGTGAAAACATACTTATTAATTATATATAGCTGTTAGTGCAAAAGGTCAAATGTAAAAATTTTCAATTTTTATTTTATTTTTGGTATTTTGTAGTCTGCAACTGATATAAGTAGTCAGCTACCATTGCAAATAGCAGAGAGCAATAAAATATGAAATTATGCTAATCAACCATAAAAAAATTATTATTTTTTATGTTCTGCTATAAAATATAATTTTTACATAAGACCTTTTGCTCTAATATAATAGCGATATGCAAGTTCAGTATGCACTGGATTTTTTTTACTTTCACTTTGCTTATATATGTAATATATAGTAAGTGTAAGTATTGCCTTCGTGAAAATTTTTGAACCTAAGTTTTTAACGAAAATACACGTTTTGAGATCCCCGAGTCCAAATAAGTCCCGAAAAATGGTCTGTTTGTCTGACAACATGTGAACACTCTTGCTCGAAAACAAAAAGTCCTACGAAACTGATATTACGTATTTAAGATAGGTATATGCCTTAGATGTCGCTGCAACCTTATCCTTAAAATCGGCTAACCGGAAGTGCCACTGAAACAAATTTATACAATTTTCTCAAAAACGGCTCTAACGATTTTGATTAAACTCGGTGTATCATTGTATAATTAAGTGGTCTTTAATATTATTTAGGTCTTATCCCCGTTGATGTCACATTACAGGGCTTAAATGCCCAATGTTCATGTACGTCATCCTTTAAAGTACCTATAAAATGGTTTATTTTAAAAAGTTAATCATTTCATATTATTCAGAGTTACGAAAAAATGCTAAATATAAATTTTTAAAGAATTTGATTAAAGTTATTAAAGCAGAAAAAAATAAAAATGTAGAAAAACCTGCGTTGCTATGGACTGTAGGGCCTAAACGGATGTACTTATATAACATACTTCAACGAAAAGAAGCTGGAAAAAAAGTTACTAGGGACAGTAAAATTAAATTCGGAATAACTCAAAAAGTATACACTTTTTTGTGGATATTGCGATAAGCTTATTCAAAGGTATTTAAATTTCCTAAAAAATGAGAAACGTTTCATCGAAATCAAAGCACTATTAGTAGAGATATCGCGATTTTAAAATATTTTTTTAATTACGAGTAATCTTATATGTAATCAGCAAATGAACAAAATTGATGAATATCAAACCCAAATAGATTGAGGGGTTATTGTATTTTCGAAAACGGCTTCTCCAAGAGGTTTTATTCTCATACGATAAATTTTAGACCGTGTAATATAGATGTTTTTTAGCCAATGAAAACGATGAGGAAGCTATACTGACCTGACTTGGCAGGCGTTTTTCTCTTGCACCGTGTTGGCATAGTGCCACGGTACCAGAAAAATAACTTCACAGTTAAGGACACAGTTCTTCAAGAGGAAACACCACTCCAAATTACAAATTCGTGTTTCACATAGTTTGTAAATTGTGTATATGTACCTTAAAAGTGACAGTAGAGCTAACTCAAACATAGTTTGATTTATTTTGAAAAACTGACGACAAATATATCAGTCACTAAAGAAGGAAAAAAAAAAAAAAAAAAAACCAAGAAACCGCCCCCCCCCCTACTACACATTCATGTTTCCCATAGTTTTTGAAACGTGTAAAAGTGGTTTTGTGTTTACCCAGTTCTTTTAAATATTCGTCCCCATTCTTCGACGACCTTTTATATTGGTCTTTGTCCTCTCAGTTACCATTGAAAGAAGTCGATGTTCTTCGTGGCCACAATGGTATCCCCTCCACAACTTCCATTGCTGTCACCACTACACGAATCTAGAGACTGCCTCATCGTGCTGCTGTCTAGTGGGTAAGTCGTCTCTCCTCTGTCAGTTTTACTTATTATTATTATTGATATTATCAATAATAAACGCTGTTATTGTAACGGTTTGATTTTTAACAGTAAATATATTATTGCTTTTTTAAAATTAAATTTACTATTTATCAAAAAACAATAACAACCAAATTTTTTAATGAAATATGATTTATTTATGTGTGAATATATGTGCGTATGTACCCGTGTAAGAAGACATGATTAAAATAACTTGTCCAGATGAATCGTATAGTTTATGCGCCTTTACCATCTCCCCAAATTCGGTTTGAATCGGTCGAAAGATTTCTGAATTACGAGCGGTTTTCAGAATATTAAAAAAAAATTGACGATTTTTTAAAAAGTCTCCAAATTCTTTAGTAGCCTATGAGTCGTATGAGACCTCTAAATTTCGTGTACAACGGCTTCTGATAAAAAAAAAAAAAACCTGTTTCATAAATTCATTTGAGCTGTTTGAGAGAAATAACGAATATAACTATACATAATATGTACGTAATAATAGGTGATACGTAATATAAATATATCTACGTAATAAAAGTATAACCTTATGTGTATGAATGATTTACTCAACTTCATATTTTTTAAATGATTTTAAAAATTATACCATGGAATTATATCAGGTAAATATTTGGTATATTTAAAATTATACTTTATAAACTTTGGGAGGTTCCAGTGTTGAGATCCCTGGTTTAGATGATAATTTGATTCTTAGATTCGCTCAAAAAAAAATTGAATACCATAGATTTTTTCGTAGTTCTAAAAACAAATCTGACTTCAGTTTTGAATGGAAAAATATTTTTAAAATACTTTTCTCTGCTAGATAATTTTGTTTTCATTATATACATTTCTCATTACATATTTAAATTATTTTGAAAAATTGTATGACTAAAGTTTACTTCTTTTAAACAACAAATAATGTTTTTGTATTACTTACCTTACTTGGTAATAATAAAAAGGTTTAGAATTAAAACCTATCTTTGAACCAAAAGTAATTCGCTGCTTTAAAAATTTTAAATAGATTTAAAAGAGGAGCTGAAGAAAAAAAGATTATTTTTAATGGTATGGAAATGATTGACTGTAGATTCCAATTTGAGAAGAAGTTTAATAGAGTGTACGGTATATTTATTGCAACGTTTCGACCTACATTGTAGGTCTTCTGCAGTGCCAGACGGAATGCCCTCAAGAAAATCTACAAAGTAATTCGAAATGTTGGACAATGCAATAAATATATTATTATACAGAATTTTTTTTTAGGTTAAGTGGCCAAACAGCAAAAGTAAACTAAAAACAAGAAAAAAATTTCCTCTGAAGGTATGCCCGCAAACGCTTTGTATAGGAGATATTCAAACCTAAAGATTTTCGTTGTTATGAATTATTTACGTTATATGAAATAAATAATATCTATTTATTTGTTCCAACTACTTTAATAATTAAACGTAAACATTAACATTCATATTAAATGTTGTTCAAAGTGATTTCCTTGAGCATTAAGACAGGCTCGGCATCTTTCTTCAACAGCAGCAGTGGCAGAACGGCACTGGATATGTTTTATTGTTTCACAAGATTCAATTATTCTTCTTCGTAAGGAATTAAGGTCATTGACCGGACTTGCATAGACTTCTTGTTTAATGTTACCCCTAATAAAAAAATCCAGTGTTGTCATGTCTAGAGAACGCGCAGGCCGAGCCACTGGTCCTGCACGGCCAATTCATTGAGTGGGATATGGGATATGATTGAACAAGTCCTTAGTTCATTTTTGCAGTTTGGCCACTTGACCCTGAAACATCCTGTATAATATAGTATTTTATATTATAGACGGGACTCCTGACTAACTTCCAAAAATTATGTTTGTTTTCGATAATGTTTTCAATATTATGGTTTTTTGACTTGTTAAACAAAATCTGCCTTCTTTCTCTTTACATTTTTTTAATGTATGAAAAAATCTATATGGCTAGTTTACTTCATAATTTATTTTATTATCTTTTTTGCGATGGAAACGTTGTTATTTTAAAAACTTATTTATAAGATAAAGCGGATTCAGAGCGTTTTATTTGTTTTTTATAGCTCCTAAAGCCCATTGAACGAAACGTACAGCTCTTCGATTCGATGTATTTTTCGCCATATTAAATTTAATAGGTGAATTAAAGTACGTAAATCATCACGTTTATCCGATTTGTTTACCGTTTCAATGAATACGTCTTTTAACATACAATTATTGATAACAAGTACGTGACTTAAGTATTATTTTTATTTTTTTACTTTCCTACATATACTAGGTAATTAAAGTATTGCAATCGGGTCAAATTTCCGACATGTGGTTTTCGACGGATCAAAACGTCTCAGAGCTCCCTGAGTCCGAAAAACACATTTTTAGCCATTGGTCTGTCTGTTTGTGCCAAGATTTTCTCGGAAACTACTGAACCGATTTTGTTGTTTATTTTTATATTTTGTAGGGTTTTGACTACTGATGCCTGTGACAGAAATTCGGTGCTCCATGCGCAATAAATGAAAAACATGTTTTTCTATAGACTGTAGCGCAAAAACGGCTCTAACGATTTTGATGAAACTTTCATATAATGTTCTAATCATTGTTCTTTTAATTTTCGTATATACACTAAATCCTAGAAAAAATTCAGGAAAAAAAGTTATAAAGAAAAGAAAAATGTTATGCGACCTAACTCCCTAAAATATATTATACGTTGAAATTGATAATACAACTTTTGAAAGGTAATTAAATTTCCAACAAAACAAAAAAAAAAAAAAAATTACCGGAATCGAACTAGTATTAGCGATGATACAGCTTATTCTATTTTTTACACATTTTTTAACTTATTACTTTCCTACCTATACTGGGGAAGGAAAGTATTGCAATCGGGTCAAATTTCCGACATGCGGTTTTCGACGGATCTATACGTTTCAGAGCACCCCGAGTTACAAAGCCATATAAAAATCATTAATTTTGGACAACTATTGACGAAGTTACAGCTATTCAATTTCCAATGTAAGATTACGGTTTCATATCCTGGGGTCAGAAAGGGGTGAATGAGAGAATAATGATGACTAAGTGAAAGTAAGAAAATCTGTTGCCCGCATCACACAATCTTCACTATTTCCTCTACTTTCAACATAAATTATTGTTTGTCAGTACTAAGCTATGCCAACAAGTTTTTGATCAGCAATATTAGGAAGTATTGAAATTTTTACACTGATCTATCTTAAGCCGGTTTACATTCCTTTAGTTTATCAAATAAATCGTACTTAAATCTTATGTTTGATCAATTTTCAGGAAAATGTATCTAGTTCAATTCTTTTTTGTTTCTTCATGAACATATGTAAAGATATAAAAACTTTTATATTATACTGATAATATAAAGATATAAAAACTTATTTATACTGAAATAGGTAGGAAAGTCGTGTGAGTGGACACACCTGATTTTTTTTATTTATATCGTATGGGTTATAAATATATTTGAAAATATTAACAAAACAGTTGAATATATCTCTGATGCTTTAAATCCGCGGAAAATGTGATAAAATCTTAACGTAAAAATGGAAGAGCATCATCATGCATGATGAATGATGGGAATCATGCTCATGAATGAAAAGGCGATCGCCCCCTCTCCGCCCCGAAGTCTGCGCCTATGATAATATAGATTTCATCAAAAAGATCACATTCACTAAAATTGTTATATACTAATCTTTTGACCACTGGCAATATGTCTGATACACATGATGTATCTGGTGCTCAACGAAAAAATGACTTCTTTGCAATCACAAACAGGAAGTGCATGCCTCACATCGGAGCGGAAGAAGAAGGTGAATCGGTTGACCAATAGCTCCAATTGGATTCCATTTCCTATCCGATTGTTGGAAATCCAGGGAATTGTAACAGCTGACCCTTCCACCATTAACTGGCCTTGACACGATTCCAATATACAGAGAATTTTTGTTCGATATCTATAATTCGTTAGCAACAATTTTTTTTTTTGGGGGGGGCAACAAAGGCTCAGACATCGGAAGAAGGAGGGCGATCATTCTCCAATAAAATAGAGAGGGAGCGAGGGTATCGTTTTGCCTCCCCCTCCCCCTATATTTTGAGGAACAAAAATAAAATCAAAATTTATAACAATTAATCTACATGAATGAATAAAATATGTAAACTAAAATCAATTTAGAAAATGGAATCAATTTAGAAAATGTCGCGATTAGATGACTGAGCTAAAGGCTAGAAGTAGGTACACAAGTATTTAATAGCGCCCTATGTCACTACTATTGTAATTTTAGTTTATATCGTACAATCCAAAATCCTTCGTAAAATCTTCAATGCTCCTTATTTTGTCACAAATAAAATCATCCATAAAGACCTTAATGTTCCATATGTTTCCGATTTGGCCCAATCCAGATACCTATCCTTCCATAACAAACTGCAGAACCATCCGAACTCCCTCGTTTCAAACCTTGCTTCCTCCTGGATACCTGATAACCCTCCGAGGCGTCTGAAAAGAAGATGGCCTCGGAACCTTCTAATATAGAACTTTAATTTGAGTTCTACCAATGAGTAGTTTCTCATATTGTACATATCTTGTTACCAATGTCACATTTATTTTTTGTATTTTTCATGTAATACAGTAGTAAATTTTATTAAAATAAATAAAAAAAAAATTAAAAAAGAAGTTTGTATCGAATGAAAATTACCTGTAACTACGTATTTTATGATTCATTCATGCACCCTTCCATTTTACTTGAAGATTTTATCACATTTCCCAGGGTAAATTTATAGGAGAATTTATAGTTCAACTCTAAATTTACTGCCTTAGCCTTTAAATAAAAATAAAAATTATGGATTAATGGTTTTGACCGTAGTGAATAATTGAAGAGAATTTGCTTGGGCTGTTAAGTAAAAAAACAGAACAAATTAATAATAAATAAATGATATTTATTTTTATATTTGATCTGATTATCTGGTCTCTTCTAAGCCCTGATGAAGGCATGCTTCCATGTGGGCCAAAACTTCGGGAAATATAAAAATAAATATCATTTATTTATTTCTAATTTTTTTTTTTTTTTTTTGACTGAATATCCCAACCAACTTCTCTACAATAAAATGAAATTTACAACTGTAAAACTAAATAAAGACAACTAGTACATATGAGCAAATCAAGAGTAATGACATAAACCGACTTGTGGAGACACTATCCAATGATAGTAGTTCTTAAATAGTTTTAAGTAAGATCACGAGGCCAATTTCTTCTTAGGAGGATTATCAGAAATTTAGGAAGAAGCAAGACTGGAAACAAGTGGATTCGGATGGGACTGAAGTTTGTCATGGATATATATCTTGCTTGGACTAAATCATCGACATATGGAATATCAAGGTTTTTTTTTTTTTTTCTGTTGGCATTACGGACTATGTAGATCTTTTCCCGTTTTAACAAGCCTGCTCCATCTCTGGCTGTCTTAGGCTATCTCTTTCCATTTGTCTTCACACAGCTCTATTGCATCTTTGTCGATTCTATCTATCCATCAGCTTTTTGGCCTTCCACGTGGTCTTTGACTTTCTGTTGTGACATTCATTGGTACGTGGAGGCTTCCAGTTGGATTGTTACGAGCTATATGTCCCGCCCATGTTAACCTCCGTGCCTTCATATCATGAGATATTGATTGATCAGTTTCTGTAAGTCATTCCTTATTAGTCTTTCTTCTCCACGTGTTAGTACTCTGATCTCCCGATTGCTCCGGTTATCGTGCGGAGGATTTTCTTCTCAAATCTTTCAACACTTTTTTCTAAGGTCCTGGTTACTGTCCAATTCTCACAGCCATATATTAGAATTGGCTTTATCATAACAGTGTACACTCATACAATAAGGTTAATAATGTTTATAAAATAGAGATGGAGTCTATTCGTCTGGGGTTCTTCCCTGAAAACAAATAAAGATTAAATAAACAAAATAATAATGGCCATTCAGTGACTTCATCATGGAAACCGCGTTAGGTGAAGTGTTATCCCATCCATAGACGCAGTTCCTTATTAGTCTTTCTTCTCCATCCCTAATAAGCTCGCTCCTGTTATTGTGCAGATTCATTAAGATCTAAATGAATGGTTTTATTTGTGACATAATATGGGACACTAATGATTTTACGAAAAAAATTGGATTATAAGGATTTGATACGATAGGAATTCGATGGTTTAGTGGCGCCCCAAAGCTCACCTCCGTATTTCCATGAAGGTCTTATAGTCATGTAAATGAGTCTTTTATAATTAATTGAAAGTTTAGAGCGTTTGTCTAGTAAGTATTGGAGCAGCCGGAAACGTCGAGCAGTTTCTTGTCGTTTCAGTCTTATATGCGAATTCCAAGTAAGATGTTTGTCCAGTCGCAATCCTAAGTAGCGGATTTGCTCAACAGGGACAAGTGGAATATTATTGAAGGATATTGTAGGACAAAAAGTGGTAGGTTTACGACAGAGAGTATATATTAATCAGTGAATATTTAAATACACAATTTGTGAATGAAATAATCAATACTTCAGTACTGCACAGGATATTACATCGCTCTTGAAAGTAAGACAAAAATCTTCCTGATAAAATCAAACTTTTTTTTTCTAGATGTGAGACATTGTTGACTGGATTAGCGGCAAAACAATGATCAGATTCGCTCTGATACAGCTGTTTTCTTCGTACCTCATTGGAGTAACTTTGGCATGCCATGGAGGTAGAATGTTAAGTAAGTTACTTCTATATTATTATTTAATAATCTCTTTGTAATTTAGGAAAAGGTTTATTTGATAATATCTAATCGATAGTCCTCGAAATAAAAATCGATATTAATGTTCTTTAATAGATTAATAATAGTCATTAGCATTAGTATCATTAAAAACAAATCTACTTCTTCATAAAATTAAATATTTTTAAAAAATTGGATAAACTTATCATGAATATAGTATTGTAGTTACAATATTTTTTTTTCTGTTGGCATTACAGATCCTGTAGATTTTTTGCCGCCTTAACAAGCCTGCTCCATCTCTGCCTGTCTTGGGATATTTCTTTACATTTATCTGCACGCAGCTCTGTTGCATCTTTGTTGATTCTATCTATCTATTCTATGATAATAAGCCGAAAATTCCACCCCAATAACCGGATCTGCATAGAAGGAAAATCATTTCCGAGAGCAGAAAAATTCAAATATATCGGCTCCATAATAACCTCAATGAATTACCAACGAGCAGAAATAGACCAGCGTATAACTAGCGCAAACAGAGGTTTCTTCTCCCTCTCAAAGGTATTGAAATCACGAAACATCTCAAACTAAGGATGTACAATGCTATGATAAAGTCAGTTCAAATATATGGTTGTGAGACCTGGACACTAACCAGCACTCTAGAAAGATTTTGAAAGATTTGAGAGGAAAATCATCCGCACGATAACCGGAGCGATGTGAGAAAAATAACACGTGGAGAAGAAAGACTAATAAAGAACTGCTTACAGAAACTGGTCAATCAATATCCCATCATATGAAGGCACGGAGCTTAAGATGGGAGGGGCATCCAGCTCGCTGCAATCCATCTGGAAGCCTCTACGTGACAATTAATTACTCCATAGGAGGCCAAAAACAATATGGATAAATAGAAGTTGCGTGCAGATAAATGGTAAGAAATAGCCCAAGACAGCCAGAGATGGAGCAGGGTTTTTAAGGCGACAAAAGATCTACATGGCCCACAAGCGGATCCAGGATTTAATTTTGGGGGCTTCAGCCCGAAAGCTTTTTTTTTCATAAAATAACGATAATCACTTTGGAAAAAAAATAAAGAAACTAACTACCTATATGAAATGGTGTTTAAGTGATTCTTTTAATATTTTTTTCCATAATACCTGGTTATATTTTACCATTTTGGGGGAGAGGGGGAGGAGGCTTCAGTCCCAAAGCCTCCCCCCCCTTCGTAGATCCGCCCGTTACATGGTCTGTAATGCTAACAGAAAAAAAAACTTAGGTTTCAGTATAAAATAAAAATTTAAAAAAATAATAAATGTTTGGTCGCTTACTGTGTGATATTCCAACACACTTCCTCAATTACCAATTACCAATAACATGCCTGAACCCAAAACACCATTAGTGTCCCTGCTAATGACTTTACAAAATTAATTGTTAGAACTGTCACCTCTTTCAATTTCTAACTGACCTTTCCTTTTATAAATGTGAGGGATCAGTTATTTATTAATAACTGATATTAATGTATTAATAACTGATATTAATAACGGCTCCATCAATTTTAATGTTCTAATTATCACTTGACAGTTTTTGGAGGTTTGAAGAAAGTTAAATGTATCCCTAATAGGCAGGTATGCAGTAGTGGATCCAGGAACTAATTTTTGGGGGAGGGGCGAGAAAGTTGTTGGAGGGACTTTTTTTTTTTAATAAGTGTAATACATTGCCATGTTTTAGTAGTTCTTGAAAACAAAATGGTAATTATAAGAAAAATGCTTTTAGAGATTAATTTCTTATATTTTTTCTTGACAAATGCTTACATTTAGTAACTATATATACATCATAATATAAAAAGAGATTATATTGTGATAATTTATGAATTAAAACAAATTATTAATGAATAAAATAACATTCACTAGCTTATTTTTCGATATATCTTTGTTTTATTATTTATTTGATATTTCAATAAAATTTTCTAACTATGGCTAGTATCACTTTACCTCCAAAGCTGAATAAACTATTATTAAGAGATTAAGTAACTGGACATTATATAGGATCGCTGGGTTGACATAATACCTATATCTCTCAAATACAAGGTTTGAGAGTTGCTCTACCAAGAACTTATTTCTACATATTTTTTTTTTAATCTCTTTATATCTTTAGGTTCATCACTTATTCTCATAATAATAAATATTCTATTTAAAATATATTTAAGTTGAGTAATACATGTTTGGATTTCCTTAGGAAGTGGAGGTTTGTCCTGTTATGAGAAAGATTGTATCGTGAGGTGGCACAATGAACGGCGATCAGGAGTGGCCTTAGGTTTGGTCAAAACTCAACCACCAGCACAAAATATGATGGAGATTGTAAGTTATCATTTTTACAATAATTTAGCATAACAATTTAAAAGAATTGATATATATATATATATATATATATATATATATATATATATATATATATATATATATATATATGTGTGTGTGTGTGTGTGTGTGTGTTATTTATTTTTATTGTTTTTATTTGGTTTGGCTTTACATACCATGTAGATCTTTTGCCGCTTAACTTAACACGCCTGCTCCATCTCTGCTTGTCTTGGGTTATTTCTTTACATTTATCTGCACGCAGCTCTATTATATCTTTATTGATTCTATCTATCCATCTGCTTTTTGGCCTTCCGCGTGGTCTCTTGCCTGCTATTGAGGCATTCAGTGTTACGTTGAGGCTTCCAGATTGATTGCTACGAGCTACATACCACGCCCATCTTAACCTCCGTACCTTCATATCATGGGATATTGATTGACCAGTTTCTTTAAGCAGCTCTTTATTGGCCTTTCTTCTCTATCTGTTTTAAAAAAAAATGTCGGTTGGCGCTATAGACCATGAAGATCTTTGGCCGTGAGATGTGGTCTCCTCACATACATACATTGCTTCCGAGAGGACAGATAGCCTGGAGGGGGTCACCCAACCTCATTTAGCTATGGTTTCCATGGTGCAGCGGCAGGTCATCCGTAGCTCCATAGACGATCCCTTTTTACTGGCAGTGTCCTTCTCACCGACTCAATCGTGTTCAAGGACAGTGACAAATCGGTCTAGATCCATGGATTATGGCTGTTCAGAGTCAGCAGGCGCACGAGAACCTATATTCTTTTCCCAAAACAGATCGTCCATGGACCGAACCTTAGGGGGCTACTAACATCCTGATAAATCATATCCCGATTACCGATTTAGGCACTGGGGTAGTGTCATCAGTTCTACGCCCGGTAGGTGTGATATACCTCCAGTAGCCTGTTGGGCCTCACATAAACGGGTTGGAGGAATTCCCGGTTAACTTCTCCCTGGTTGACGGTCACCCAAATCGGGCGTTCACACATCCAAGTACTAACCACGCTCGATGTTGCTTAACTTTGATTACCTATTGCAAGAGCCTTGGCCCGTACAGCTCAAGTAAATTGTCTCAAAGGATACGAAAAGAGAAGAATGATAAAAATGATGGAATTAAAATTCAAAATATAAATGATATTTAAAATTCATCAGGTGCTAATACAGCTGATGCTCCAGAACTAATTTATGGTCCCTCACTACCAACCAAACCAATTTTTATAGAGAAAACTGCTACAAGTGAAGAGTCATCTTCGTATGAAATAGAATGGATCAAAAAAGCTACTTCTAAAGAAAAGAAGCATTCAAAAAAGATAAAAAAATAAAGGAATTCTAGGATTTAAAGGCCGAAGATAGTTTCTTCGGTTATATTTCACTACTTTTGAATTGTAAGAAACAATTCAAAACTCCTCAGGTGGGAGGATGTTAAAAAATCGATCAAAAGTGATATTTATTTTTATAAATATTTAATAGTTTCGCATATATACCTGAAATGTGGAATCGTCCACCCTTTAAGATGCATAGATTTCTGAATCACCCTGCTCTTAGATTTCATCCTACGTCCAGCGGTTTCTTGTTAAAAAGTAGCAAAACGGAAGAAAAAATTGAAAAACTCAGAAGAAACTTTTTTTTTTTTATTGAATATTATAACAATCTGTCTCTTGGACATTGGTTATAGTGAGGTAGGATGACATCCACACTATATGTACAAAAAAATAAAATAAATAGAAAAAAATAATAATCAAAAGTATATACAATAGATAATAAAATAAAATAACCTAAAAAATAAGAAAATTAAAACTAAGAAAAAAAAAAACACATGCATACCTATATACAATCAGGCGAGGGAACTCCAGGAGAACCCTGCGCTACTCTCCCAACCGCGTCACTGGTACTAAAGCCAGCGGAGATTGGTCGATAGCACTTTAGCCACATACACTCATGTCTTGAGTGAAGAATCTGGCCATTGCCAGAACTCCAATTTATACAATCTACAAAAGGTCGCGAGGCCACTGCCGTTTCAACCTTCTTGGAGGATTATAGGGATGGGAGGTGCTTGATAGGCATTGTGCAAGAGGATTTGGGTGGTACGTAAGGTTCTGGTGAAATTTAGAGAATTTTTCTGGGATAAGGTCTAGGACAAATGGGATGTTGAGGTCATGATGTAGGGGTTTGTTGGTTACATAGAAAGGAGCATCGACTATTGTTCGAAGGACTTTTGACTGGAAGGATTGGATGCGCTTGATGTTAGAAAATTTTGTGATCCCCACAGTTCTAGTCCGTAAGTCCAAATAGGTTTCAGTATTGTCTTGTAGATCAGTAGCTTGTTTTCAGTGGAAAGTTTAGATTTTCTGCTTAGTAGTCGGTATAATTGGCCGTATCGTCGGTTGAGTTCTTGTCTTTTGAGTCTAGTATGCGGGTTCCACGTTAGTCTTCGGTCTAAATGAAAGCCAAATACCGGACTGTGTCTGAGTAAGGAAGCTGGATGGAATTAAAGAGTACTGGTGGACAGGAATTACGTCGGAGTGTAAAGGTAATATGTTGGCATTTAGATTCATTAACTTTAATGCGCCAGTTATTACACCAGTGCTCAATCAAGGTGAGGTAGCTTTGGAGATTTAAGGATGCTATTTCGGGATCAGAGTTGGATGATAAGATTGCGGTGTCGTCAGCGAATGTTGCAAGAAAACTAAAGACAATCAAGGCACTGAAGGCACTGAAGTCAACTATAGAAGCAGGAAAGTACCAAATAAAACGTCACGTTCTGAAGGAATCTTTAGATCATGTAAACAGCAAGATCAAGGATATCGAGGAAGAAATGGCATCGTTAGAGAAAGGGGATTAATAAAGAAAAGGATAAAGAAAAGGATAAAGAAAGTGTATACCTGATGAAATGTAATAAAGTTTTTTTTTGTCATATTGTTGAAATATGCATATGTGATTAATTGTTATAGTTTTTATAAAAAGTCTAAAAGTCAAAAGGTCTAAATTCTCGGTGTAAAAGTTTCTAGTGAAATAACAGTTAGTTTATTTGAAATAAAGGGAACTCAACTTTATTCTATTTCGAACCTAGGGATCAGATATAACGGTTAGTTATATTTTGACCTATCGATATATCGATAATACTATCGACTATCGCCCATCCCTAGGGTAAGCTTAATTTTGCCAACGCCTCCCTCAATCCCTCCCTCCTCAAATAGAAGTCAATATCTTAAGCAATATATTTTCCAAATAAATATAATCTCATAACATTAACTCATTTTTTTAATAAATTAAGAGGTGAATAATCAAAAACTAGAAAAATATGTTCTATGCATTGTAAAAAAAAAATTAGTTAAAAATACGATTTTATTTATCGCTCTTAAATTCTGTCGCCCGGGGCAACTGCTCCATTTTCCCCTCCCTAGTTCCCGCCCTAACCTTCAAAGTGTGTTATTTTCTTATATATTTACGTAACATGAATTTTACAGTGCTGGGACGACGAACTTGAACGGCAAGCTCAGAGGTGGGCAGACAACTGTTTGTATGAACACGACAAAAGGAGGACACATTGTATGTTTAATTTTTTTCTATAACTCATATTTTTGTTAGTAATACTTTTCATGTTTAATTTATTATATCATTCGGACAGTTATATGATATGAAACTTAGTTTAGTAGATACAGCAAGTAAATAAATAGGGTTAAATGGCCAAACTATAAAAATGAACTAAGGACCTCAAAACATGTCTGAAAGTATGTCTGCAAACGCTTTGTTCAGGACATATTCACACCTAAGAATTTTCGTTGCTATGAATTATTTACGTTATATGAAATATAATAAAACCTATTTATTTGTTCTAATTACTTTAATAATTAAATGTAAACATTAACATCCATATTAAATGTTGTTCAAAGTGAAGGTATGACCGCAAACTCTAGTTTATACGATGGATTCGATAGAATATTAATATGGCCTTTTGTTCCTTACTGTATAAAAACTATTGGCAACATAAGGATCAAAACTATTTGGAATTAGCATTGGGAACTCTCAATAACATTTATCAGTTTTTAAGAGGCTTTCGCAGAATACTCATCATAAATGGATAATGGCTTGGCCTGCACGCTCTCCAGACCTGACACCACTAGATTTTTTTGTTTGGGGTGACATTAAACAACAAGTCTATGCAAGTTTAGACCTTAATGACCTTAATTCCTTACCAAGAAGGATAATTGAATCTTGTAAAACAATAACACATATCCAGTGCCGTTCTGCTGTTGTTGTTGAAGAAAGATGCCGAGCCTGTCTTGATGTTTTTCAGTTTAGCCAATTAACTCTGAAACACCTTATGTATCTATAAAATATAAATAAAATATAATAGAATAAACAAAAAAACTTCATTTTATTTTATATATCTGAAGAACAGAAATAGTGTAAAGACACCATAAGGGTCCAGGGAAGAAGAAATTTTGTGATAAAGCCCCTCCACCCGCCCCTCTCCCATCGAAAACAAAAAATGTTTGAGAAATCTGCCAATAAAATTTGTTCAATTTCTTTCATAACTTTTTTCACTAAACTTTCGGGGAAATGTGACTATTATTTTTCACGTCTCCATTAAATACTCTTTCATTTGATCCTTCATTCGACAGAATCTAAAGTTATAATTTTTTTTGTAATTTTCTTAAAAAAAATTAAGGCTTGTTTAAAATTCGAAGTAAAAAAATTTTATTTTTCAATTGCAATGAAAATTGGTATTTAAGGGTTCTTCGGTGTGCTAAGTACGAATATCAACTCTGTTTTACGTTAAAAAAATGTTTGAGAAATCTGAAAATAAATTTGTTTTTATTTCTTTCATAAATTTTTCCACTGAACTTTCGGGGAGATGTGACTATTGTTTTTCACGTCTTCATAAAATAGTCTTTCATTTGATCCCTCATTCGTTTAAATCCGTGGATATAAAAATTTTGGTAATTTCCTTTCCTCGCGAGGGCTCATTACCGCGTATGGGGAGCGTCCCACGGGTGGCGGATGTGGGGATGGTCGGTGGAAATTTCTTGGAAGTTCCTCCCGACTAAGTTCGATGGACTCGCTGACCAACAATGAGAGGGGCCCTCCAGACTTGCTGGAGGCAGGGACCCTCCAGACTTGCTGGAGGCAGGAACCCTCCAGACTTGCTGGAGCGTGTGACGTAGGATTGAACGCCCAACTCAAATATCTATAGTTCACCATACACCACAAATTTTCATACATCTCCCTAAGGTAAAACGCTCATTATCCGGAGGTAAACTAGTCATCCGTTCGGGTCTTCAGTTGGGGACTGCTTTAGGGGATTCATGGCGCATGTTGAAATATAGGGATTTAGTATTGGAACGTGGAACATAAGGGGTTTAAATTCAGCAGGTGGGTTAAAATCGGTCACAAATGAGGTTAATGGGCATAATTTGGATATCTTGGCTCTGCAAGAGGTTCGCTGGCCAGGGAAGGGGTCGATGAAGGAAGGAAAGTACACTTTTTGATACGGAGGAAGCGGGAAAATCTTGTTTAGGTACCGGGTTCCTAATCAGGAATTGATTGCTATCCGCTTGGAGATACGTATAATTCATTAGTGACAGAATTTCGGTAAGTATATTTAAGAGACGTTGGTTTATAATCGCATTAATAAATATACATTATGTTATTACCGAAGACAGTGACGATGAACTCAAATGCGAAATTTACGCTAAACCCGAATGGATTTCAGATAAATTACCGCGAAATTCCATGAAAAGGATTGTAGATGACGAAAACGCAAAGGTGGGAAGAAAAAAAGTTTATGTTCCGACGATTAGTAGAAAAAGTTTGCACGAATATAGTAATGGTAATGAGATCCGTCTGATAAACTTTGCCATCCGAAAAACCGTATAATTAAAAGTACTCCGGTTAAACATAAGGATATCCATAGAATACTTGGACACAGAATTCGCAAACAATAAACTAAATCGATCATTTCTTGTTACAACATAGCTGGAAAAACAGTATAATTAATGTACGGTCTCATCGTTGAGCAGAATGTGGGTCAAATAATGAATTAGTAATCGCGAAACCTCGACCAAGATTTAATATTAAAAAGAGAACAGAAAACCGTTCCAATTTTGAGAATTTTAATTTGGAAAAATAAAAAAAAATCGTTGGTTCAATTATCCAGAGGGTCCTTAGACGTTCTCAATACAAATCTCAACTCTGTTTCTCAATAAAAAAATGTCTGAGCTCTTTGGAAATAAAAATTTTCCTCTTTCTCTCATAACTTTTTATGATCAACATGTGGGAAGAAATGACTATGGTTTATCACTTCTCCTCCGAATACCCTTTCATTTGATACCTCATTCGTTAAAATCGGTTGATATAAAATTTTTGATCAGTTTTTACAAAAAACTAAGGCTATAGCCTTAGTTCAATTTTCAAGAAAAAAAGTTTTATTTTTCGATTGCTATGAAGAAAATTCTTATTTGAGGGTCCTTAGACGTTCTAAATACAAATCTCAACTCTGTTTCTCAATAAAAAAATGTCTGAGCTATTTGGAAATAAAAATTTTCCTCGTTCTCTCATAACTTTTTATGTTTAACTTCTGGGAAGAAATGACTATGGTTTCTCACTTCTCCTCCGAATACCCTTTCATTTGATACCTCATTCGTTAAAATCGGTGGATATAAAATTTTTGATCAGTTTTTACAAAAAACTAAGGCTATAGCCTTAGTTCAATTTTCAAGAAAAAAAGTTTTATTTTTCGATTGCTATGAAAATTCGTATTTGAGGGTCCTTAGACGTTCTAAATACAAATCTCAACTCTGTTTCTCAATAAAAAAATGTCTGAGCTATTTGGAAATAAAAATTTTCCCCTCTCTCTCATAACTTTTTATGTTCAACTTCTGGGAAGAAATGACTATGGTTTATCACTTCTCCTCCGAATACCCTTTCATTTGATACCTCATTCGTTAAAATCGGTGGATATAAAATTTTTGATCAGTTTTTACAAAAAACTAAGGCTATAGCCTTAGTTCAATTTTCAAGAAAAAAAGTTTTATTTTTCGATTGCTATGAAAATTCGTATTTGAGGGTCCTTAGACGTTCTGAATACAAATCTCAACTCTGTTTCTCAATAAAAAAATGTCTGAGCTATTTGGAAATAAAAATTTTCCCCTCTCTCTCATAACTTTTTATGTTCAACTTCTGGGAAGAAATGACTATGGTTTATCACTTCTCCTCCGAATACCCTTTCATTTGATACCTCATTCGTTAAAATCGGTGGATATAAAATTTTTGATCAGTTTTTACAAAAAACTAAGGCTATAGCCTTAGTTCAATTTTCAAGAAAAAAAGTTTTATTTTTCGATTGCTATGAAAATTCGTATTTGAGGGTCCTTAGACGTTCTGAATACAAATCTCAACTCTGTTTCTCAATAAAAAAATGTCTGAGCTATTTGGAAATAAAAATTTTCCCCTCTCTCTCATAACTTTTTATGTTCAACTTCTGGGAAGAAATGACTATGGTTTATCACTTCTCCTCCGAATACCCTTTCATTTGATACCTCATTCGTTAAAATCGGTGGATATAAAATTTTTGATCATTTTTTACAAAAAACTAAGGCTATAGCCTTAGTTCAATTTTCAAGAAAAAAAGTTTTATTTTTCGATTGCTATGAAAATTCGTATTTGAGGGTCCTTAGACGTTCTGAATACAAATCTCAACTCTGTTTCTCAATAAAAAAATGTCTGAGCTATTTGGAAATAAAAATTTTCCCCTCTCTCTCATAACTTTTTATGTTCAACTTCTGGGAAGAAATGACTATGGTTTATCACTTCTCCTCCGAATACCCTTTCATTTGATACCTCATTCGTTAAAATCGGTGGATATAAAATTTTTGATCAGTTTTTACAAAAAACTAAGGCTATAGCCTTAGTTCAATTTTCAAGAAAAAAAGTTTTATTTTTCGATTGCTATGAAAATTCGTATTTGAGGGTCCTTAGACGTTCTAAATACAAATCTCAACTCTGTTTCTCAATAAAAAAATGTCTGAGCTATTTGGAAATAAAAATTTTCCCCTTTCTCTCATAACTTTTTATGTTCAACTTCTGGGAAGAAATGACTATGGTTTATCACTTCTCCTCCGAATACCCTTTCATTTGATACCTCATTCGTTAAAATCGGTGGATATAAAATTTTTGATCAGTTTTTACAAAAAACTAAGGCTATATAGCCTTAGTTCAATTTTCAAGAAAAAAAGTTTTATTTTTCGATTGCTATGAAAATTCGTATTTGAGGGTCCTTAGACGTTCTGAATACAAATCTCAACTCTGTTTCTCAATAAAAAAATGTCTGAGCTATTTGGAAATAAAAATTTTCCCCTCTCTCTCATAACTTTTTATGTTCAACTTCTGGGAAGAAATGACTATGGTTTATCACTTCTCCTCCGAATACCCTTTCATTTGATACCTCATTCGTTAAAATCGGTGGATATAAAATTTTTGATCAGTTTTTACAAAAAACTAAGGTTATAGCCTTAGTTCAATTTTCAAGAAAAAAAGTTTTATTTTTCGATTGCTATGAAAATTCGTATATGAGGGCCCTTAGACGTTCAAAATACAAATCTCAACTCTGTTTCTCAATAAAAAAATGTCTGAGCTATTTGGAAATA